GTCAATTTGGTCTCGTTCGCCCGGGTAACAGCACTTCAAACTGCATTCCATTGTGTCATGTTATTTCGGTGACGGTACCCAGGGCTGATCGGTCTTCCCTCGACACAGATACCCGATCATTTGCTATGTCACCAATTCGTGGTTATATAGCCGCTCCAGATCGTCTCCTTTAGGATTATTTGGCCGCAAAACGTGATTGATTGAGACTGATTAGTTACCATCATTTTCGAGCGGTCCCCAGAGTATACAACCAAAAATCGTGCGCACAGCGCACGGATCTCTACAGCTATTTGTTGGTCCAAAACCCAATGCACCTCGGGTACGTCACAGCCGATCAGTATGTCCACTCGAGTGTCCGGGACATCATCGAACGGCAGATCTTGTAAATAAGACCGGCGCTGCGTTGACGACCTGGTAACTTCGGAAGCTCTCATTGGTAAGCTTGCGATAGTAAATGCCTGGTTCACTTCTATGGTACCTTCCTCCCATGTGGAAGCCAACTTCAAACTCAGTTGGGAAGCTCAAACTGCTTGCGCTCCATTAACCGTGCTAATTAGCAGTGAGGTGTTTTGTCCTCCCAAATCGTGTTTGCGCGCAGAGCTCTCTCACACAAGGGTGGTATCCGATCCACTGTCCAGAAACGCGACAACTTGGACCAAACCACGTGTAGTCTTTACTTGGACGGGTATTATTCCCAAGCTGACCGGCCCACCTGCCACCCGTCGGATAAAACAGACGGACTTTGGTATATTCCTCAGAGCCTTTTTGGGTTAAATTGACCCGTCCATCATCTGCCTGTGGCTTGACCCTTCCATCGTTTTGTAGTAAGGGGTGATACCGAACACTGCAGTTTTCTTGACCATATTTGGTTCGGTTTCTCCATAACACTGCTTTGTGAGTATCGCTCAAGCACACAAATCAGAACCTATCTCCTTAGCTATTGTCCAACTGTTCGTCAGCTTTTTTACCAAAACTTCCAGGTAGGCTAAAAACCTGTGGACACCTGAACACAGTTTGCTTTTAATCAATTTGTGTGTCTCAAATGAGATAAGATTGGTGCTCGCCCAATTGCGTGGAGCCTGGAGACCCCGAGATCAAGATGGCGCGAAGCCGATTGAAGGTCTGGCGGTTCTGATGCTTCCTCTCGGCAGTTGACCGAATCTACTGTTTGCTATGCGAAATTGGCAGCTTATAAATTCAGTGAGTTAATAATAATAATAATAATAATAATAATAATAAGTGTATATTTCACAGAGCCCCGTGAGGCATGCATAGGCATGATCA